CCGGCTAACCCCTGCGGCTAAGTAACAGTAAATATTACTTTAAAACAGAGAATCCTCAAGGAGTTTTTGGTATTTCTCGGCAACTCTACTCTAACCCACCTAGTTGATGCATGGGTAAATAAGTCAAGGCGCGATTCTAACCAGTGGATTCGCATTTGCTCAAGACCCTGGGGTGGATATTAGGAAATATCAGTTGCAAATTTAAGAGTGTATTGGGACTAAATCGCGTCCTATAAAATGCAAGGAATTTGAGAAGCTAGCTAAAATATCAATATAAAATAGCACCACTTCTCATCAGGAAAATAAATAATTTATGAACGCTCCACTTGGACACACGCATATCCTTATTGGCATCCTTGCATTAGGCGGGATACATCGGCGTTAAATTTGCCTAGGTCTTACTTGAGAATGAGATACCCTTAATTGCGCTGTTTAGCTATGAAGCACTGAACGTTGTACCCAGAACCACATTAAGGAAATACGCTACGAGATTTCGAAGTTGTGACATGCACTCTTCTGGTAATTTTTTACTTAGCAAATTAACGATGAAAGGATCGCAAAGCCTCTAATACTTCTATGTATGATGCAAATTATTTGTTTAGACTGAGGCTAAAATCCTGGACATTCCTTTAGATACCCCTTTAAGTAATAGTTGGTTTGCTTTTGAATTGATATTTTCTAGACCAATACACGATTTTCCACCCAACCAGCGCATTTACATTTTGCCGAAAGAGCAAGCCCCTATGAGTCACGTCGGGGGATTCACATCCCTGTGACCCCCTCAACAGGTGGATACAGGTATTTTACAATAGGAGATTGGTCACTGCGCATGACCTAGCTGATTCCATCATGTCCAACGGGATTTCAATCACGAGTGAATATTCGCACTGCTTAGTCGACCGGATAATACAGTAAGGGGCAAGAAGCCAAAGAAAGCCAAATTTGAGTTCAGAAGGCAAAAGTGTTGACTGCATATAGACATCCGATTCATACCCCTCTATTACTAGATATTAGCCAACTGCGTAAGAGGTAAGAGGTATTTTGATTGCCCATTCATTCATTTATCACAATGTTCTAGGATACTACTTGAAGGCTAGTACTTAGCACCTCGAACATTTGCTAATGCAGCTTTAATAAACTAATCAAGGTACTTTGACCAACAGACTCACAGAAGATGAACAAATGGATTGAAAGTGGGAATGGCGTAGAGCTCACGCTATCCCAGGTGTGCATGATGACTTGAGGTTAGCGGCTAAGTCAATTTAGAAATAACAGCGAAATTGAGAATATGAAAGATGACATGTAATAGAGATTATTGTGAGGCCAAGTAGGTCAAAAAGTAGGCATGTCAATCAGGAGACTGCATTTGGCAGGCCACCAGCTAGCACGTGCAAACACACACATTGGTCATAGACTATGAATACAACACTTTGAAATTCATCCACTAAGCAAACTTAAGAGCCTGAAAAACTTCTGAAGCGTCTGTAGACCTAAGACAACTTTCCTGTGCATAGAAAACGCATCTGTTTCCTTGAGTTTATTCAACTCAAACGGCTCTATCTGTCACTATGCTTGTGATTTCTACGTAGCTGCTCTCCAAATGAGCCACTTTCACACGAATGGAGCAAGAAAATCGGAGACCCAGTACACACAGTGGGGGCCTAGTTCCATTTGGTTGACCAAACGTCGTTTTGATTTATTGCCTTGATCTACACATATCATTCCAAATACCACGCATTCCAAATAGTTTCGACTTAGAATGATAACTTTCTGCATTTCTATATTATTTAGTGCTTTGCTAGTACACAGAAAAAAACAGCATTTACAATCCAACAAAATGTCCATTTTTCTCACTTCAAAGCGCAACGGGAGCAACTTTACTAGTTTGTTGTTTCTATGGTTATTTAATCAGTTTTCAAAGCTGTTGGAGCATTCAGTTTTGCACTTCTAACAATTTAATAAGTGAAATGTTTACAAGCTCTTATTCGTAGGTGCTTTGCACTTCGCAAGCAACGTGAGGCCCTCATTAGCATATTCTAACAAATAATTTGCCAGTTTGTCATTGTCAATAATTCCTTTTTCTTCCATTGAAAATTTCTACCAGTTCTCGGAAACATGTCTGCCTTCAATTTCTTTAGTTATGCGTTGTTTAATTTGGCTAATCAAAAAACTCACCTTTTATACTACATTTGGCCTCCCATGAACATTATCTGCTGGCTATTTTAATCCACAATGCAAAAGGCCATGTTGATGGCAAGGCGAATCTTCTATGCACACGCGCTGCACTGCAGCTTCAACAAGTGAATTGTGACTACACAATTGTTCATGTTATTTTTATTCTTATCTTCGCCCTATTTGAGGGCTATTTACTAATGGCCAAGTACAAAGCCAACCGCTGTCTCAGGTCCACTCATCGAGGTGTGATTATGGAACACTGCGGTGCAAAACTTGCGACAGTAGAATTCGGACTGCAAGGAGGACAAGTTCGAAACGTAGTCACTGAATTTCTCAAATGCCCTTTCTTAATATCAGAGCCTCAAGATACAAGGGTAGCACAGAACAGAGTAAGGGGTGGTTAGCGCACACTCAAGGAACACTTGAATCTACTCCACAGGTTCCTACCAGTTTCAAAATATAGAAGTCGCACGAGCTTCTATGGTTACCTAGTATACTGGACGACTACACTCATCTTTGCATCCCTTCGAATGGAGGGAACTACAGCCCTTATCGGTAGTACAGATCCAGGGGAATAATGGGGACCGAAATGTACAATCATGAGAATTTGCATGCTCAACATCTCCAAACAAGATGGAATGCACCACAACTAATTGCGAAGACAATGATGAATAAATATGACAGATATATTGTTAGTAGTATCTAGCATAGCAACATGGGGAAATGAAGTCACGTTCAAGTACGTCGCGTTCTCCAGAAAGTGAATTGCAAGTTGACTCAGACAAGGTAGCATTGCTTGGTTTGACCTGTATCGTGTGCCACGCACTCGCTGCGCAGAAGGTCGTTGTTTACCACCACAGAGATCATTGTCTGACCAATAAAGCAGAAATCAGCAGTCAATGACTCCTTGAAGTACGATCCACTTTAGGTGCAGATGCATTAACACAATTGAAAATAATAGCAAAGTAATTCAACAAAGTCACTGGATCCATTCACACACAGCCACAACATATCACGGCAATAAGTCAGCCTGCGAAAGGGGTTGGTTTTGTGGCAGTATCTACAAAACACTTGCAGCGATGGACAAATGTTGCAGATAAGAAGTTT